AGGTATAGCTATCCAATGAAGATGCCAAGATGGATCCGAATGCATTATGCAAATTGGATGTCAAAAGATTGAGAGCTGATATGGCTTTACGAAGCCAAATGTAACAATTTGCCAACAATGCCTTATCCGATTCGAATACTAAGATTAGCTTTTTAAGAACAGCTAAACAATCTTTCAATTGTACGATTTTATCGTGATCTACATTTATATATTGCTTGATTTTGTTTTCGTACTTAAGAATAAAGACACATATATTATAGTCATATATCCATCTGGTGGATACATGCTGTGGACATTGTGCACCTATATCGTCAGCATGAATGCGACAAAGTTCTGCAATTCTGTGCACATCCTTTACTAAACTTTGTAACTGGTTGTTCTTGCCAGCAATATATTGATAGCTGTTGTGGATTCTGTGACACAAACAGGGAATAAGCAATATCTTGTAGTATTTTGGATCTCTGTCATGATAGAATGAATCATTCCAAGTATCTTTGAAGCATTTTAACTGTGCTGGTCCTCCGTCAACTACCACACTACCTATCTTGACTTTCCTAATGTCAATTCTGTTAAATCCTGCTGTTATTGCGGATTTATAATCCTGACTTGTCTGGCCATCCTTCATATCTATCGCCTCTACTGGGTATGGCTTCATTTGCTCCAACGGATTTGTTAAGACAAAATCAAGATTGTGGTAATCATGTGTCTTGCCTTCATCGATGGCGACACAAGTGTATGCTTTTTTGGCGAATTCGAGAACTTTAGCAAGGTGTATGCTGTTAGCAATAGCAATCATTCTATTTCGGATCTCATCACGTGTAATAGGCTTATATAATTTGTCAGCAAGTTTTTCCGGATTGATATTAGCTGACTGAAGTTGTTTGTATTTGTTCATCATTTGATATATTGTGAACATAATGAAAATCTTTGCAACATGCGTGAATTCTGGGGATGCAAATGTGTCTAAGGCAAGGTTGAACTTACCGGTAAAAATGGTCATTTCATCGTATACATTCGATAAATCCAACATTGGATCATTTGGCTGTTTACCTTTATTGTAGTAGTCAAGTAATGTTGCTGCGATAATGCTTCTCCGGCCTGACATGTGTGAACATGAGTCTTAAGCCAGTTTTTATAATGATCCTCCCTTTGTTCTTGCATTGAACACCGGCAAACTACGCCATCAGATCGTGTCACAAGTTCATTGCATTTTACATACCACTTGGGACTACCTTCATGTTTATATCGCATGTAAACATGTTGTTTCGTTTCAAGATCGGGATATGTTGTGAACCCGACTTCTTTCATTAATGAAGTGATTTCTTAAGTTGAATAAAAACAAATTTGATTGAAATTCATACAAAATTTTTTATCATTATTATTTAAGATGCTTTTTTATGTTGAATTGTTAATTTTTTTATTTCCACCTGGGATATTTTGAATTGGGCTAGCCCAATCCCACCTCTCAATTTTCTCTCAATTGGGCAATGGGGATCCCATATAAAATGTATTGTAACAAAATTTTACATGCATAATATAGTACAATTAAACAACATTCTAAAAATATTAAATTCACATCATTTACTTGAAGATTTTATATTTTCAACAAAAATTAATACAATAATTACATTAAATTGAGGAGATTTATAATAATTATTATAAATTAAAATATTATTACTCATTAATTTGTTGAAATATTGCATTTTAGTGGTAAAAATTAAAATTTAAGTTTACATGCAGAAAAAAAATTTTAAATTCCAAAAAAAATTCAATTGGGATAACGATAGGGACAAAAATTTAGAATCCCCATATGCTTGGGATAAAATCACATGAATAGTAGCACCTTCAGTTCTTCAAAAATAATTAATTATTGAATAACCTGAAACCATTAACGTAAACATATATTTCTGCAGTTCATCCATTACTTCATTACCTAATTAATTACAGACATAAAATATATTTAGTTCATTCGGTAAGCCTTGACCCAAAGGTCTGGGCTCAAGCACATTCAATGAACGCGGTACCATGCGAATACAGTCACAAATGGTGGCATGTAATCTTTACCCGAGCCTGTTGGATTTGTTGTGAAAGTGTGTGAATGATTACCTGTGGTTCCACAGAAAATACCTGTGCTTGAATCTACTGGGTCAGTTGAAATATCAGATCTATTCATTCCCTGTCTATTCGAACCCGCTGCAAGATTTGTATAACCTCTTTTTGTTATTGAATGTGAATGATTACCTGTTGTGTTTGTCGTTCCTGTATGAGTGTGCGGTGGAAGGTTTGCTTCTTTAATTTTCTTCGAACCTCCTGTTTGCTTTGAATATCTAGCACAGTATAAGACTTTATCTACAATCTGCTTCCACATACCAAAACCTAAAACTGTTTCTGGATTTGTTGAGTTCATTGACGTATAAATAGAACCAACAGGATATAATGTTTGAAGTATTTCATTTTTCATGCTTGTAATCACATCATTTACTTCCGACCTCTTTGCATAATTTTCATCAACATAAGTTTTATCTGCTTTAAGGTCTAAACATCCTGAAACCCATTCTGTATCGGCTTTAACTTTAAAAGTCTCAAATGTCCATTCATGATACCATTCAACCTTTTCTTTAATTTCATTATCTTTTTCATCAACATAAACCAAATTTGCCTTCTTATTTAACTCACTATCCACATATTCCTTATCCACCTTCTTCATTATGTCATTTAGGAAACCTTCTATGAATTCCTCATTTAAATTAAATCTTCCAATCTTCAAAACTTTAGGAAATGCATTTAATGCGTAATATCTCTGTTCTTCTGGTGGAATTGATGTTATATCATCCGTTATTCCTTTAATTTTAGAATTCATAAATAAAATTTCTTTTATATTTGATATCACTGCACCACCTTTGCAAACGAATTCGAAATGTTCATTTTTCAATACTATCTCCAAATCTCCATATTTCAACCTTTGCGTTTGTTCTGCCGTCTTTGAATTATATGCATATATGGCGTATGTAATGGTCTGAAGGACCTGGGTGTTTTGTGCCTTAAGTTGCTGTGGTTGCTGTTGTTTAATCATTTATTATGATTTAAAAATAAATATTTAATCTGTTATCTCATCAGCTATTTTTTCTATTTGAAATTGCCATAATATTTCATTCATGAATTCTAAATCACAATCAAATAGGTCAGTTATTCTAAATTTAATATTTGATAAATCTTTTGAATGAAGAATAAATGAATTCCCGGATAATTGAAACGGATATGATAAAGAAAATGTGTTTAAGTTGATGGATAAAATGTTTTGTATTGATGGGTAAGAGTTAGGGTCTAATGTTTGATGTGAAAATCTCATTGGGGTATTAACTTTATCACATTTGATTAAAATGAAATTGGAACCGGTGTCAGAATACAAAACATCCCCAACATCTTTTTCAAAATTTAATATTCCCAACAATGAACGAAGATGAGGAGTACAAAATTTAATTTTCAGCGGGAATTTAATAAGGTTATTTATTTCATCAAGTTCAAAAAGTTTATCAGGTTTTGATTTAAAATTTTCTTCATACCATACGATAAATGATTCATTTAAATAACTTAAAATCATGTTAATATCCCATTTCGCTATCACATTATTTATATACATATCATACTTTTTTCAAGGTCATCTTTAATAAATGATATATAATCTGAAGGGTCTAAAAGAATGGGATTAAATTTACCACTCACAGAAACGAGAGTAACATTATAAATTCCGCTAACTGTTAAATTTAATTCACAGTTATTATTCGAAATAATATTGATAATTGACATTTTTATTACGAATAAAAATATGGTAAAGCGTTATTTTCCAGTGATAAATAAAACTAGAATAAGATTACCTCAAGAATTCATAAATTCAACGAATAAGAAATTCATTCATGTTATAAATTTTAGTGTTTTCAGAAAATATGAGTCAATGTCATATTCATCAACAGGTTATATTTCACTTCATTCAAATTTAGTTCAATCAAACCCATATAATGACCATTTCATAAGATTTTCAGATGGTATTAAAAATGTAATTGATAGATTAAAATATGAACAGATTGACAATATCGAATTTTTGGAATTTTGGTTTAGATATCCCGATGGAAAAAAGATTGAAGTTAAAGATAAAGCTGATACTATAACAAAAACAATTACAATGACCGATCCGGATAGTGGGGAACAAAAAGAAATAAAACAAACGATAGAAACTGGTGAAGGTCAATTATTATTGATTATGATTCAAAGGATTATTATTCGATAATGTTAATGCTTGAATATTAAATAGCCTTAACAAAGAATTTTTCAAGTGATATTTTATATTCATCAACTATTTTATTATAAATATCATTATATGTTAAATGAAGTTCAGTTGTTGTTCCGTTCTTTAATATCTTAATTGTGCTAATATCCTTTATAGGATTTATTTTTGCAACTGTTCCGCAGCATGAAACCTCATCATCTATGAAAAATTGAATCTTAACGTCTGAATCTTGAACATCACAAAGAATGGCGATAATGTGAATTAATGATTCATAAGGTAAAATAATTAAACCGGATTGATCAATTAAATTTATTATTGAATCATAAATTAATTATTATATCACGGTAAATTTTCATTAATTCAGAATTAATGTCTATTTTATATGGGTTCTCGATGTTTGATGAAAGAGGCGGGGGGTATGTTGGATAAGTGGGAATTTCAACAGGTTCTTTACCGGGTTCAGATAAAATGGTTGGGTCTCCATCTTCTTTATTTTGCTCCTCCTCCTTTTTCGGTAAGTCACGAGTTAATAAATTTGGTTGAGTTGCTGACCTTGTTAATTCAGGGCTAACATTAACTTTAACATTTTGAATAATTCGTGATTTATCATCATTTACGTTATAACCAACCGTAATCTCTGCTTTTGCGTTAGTGTTCTTTTGACTAGTGAAACGTCTTCTCATTTATATTCGAATAAAAAAATATATTTAAACTTTTATTTTGCTGGAACTTTTGAATCTATTATTCCCTGTATTTGTTCATGAAGTTGATTTTTAGCTGTTTCATCGAAATTAATAGACCGAATATATTCATTAATTGCATTCTTATAATCATCTGATTTCTCAAATTTTCTTTTATCTGATTCCTTAACTAAATCATAAGTTAAACCACGTTGCTGATATAATGGTTTCTTAATTAAATCTTTGAATGCTTGAGATAAAGCACCTGATGCAATTCTTGCTACTATAATTGGTTGGAATTGGTGTTTAAGTTCATCTTTAACATTTGCGAAAACTGGATCGAATAAAGCAACTTTAAAGAATTTCTTAGCTGAAATTTCAGGTCTAATATTTGCATATTGACCATCAAACTGGTTAGAATATCGTGGTAATCCATCCGGTCCCTCTTCAATAGCATTTAATTCTTCATTGAAATAAGAATATGGATTATGACGGTATGAATTAATTGGACCATTTTCACCTTCTTCAATGTATTGTTTAACAGCTTTTCCATTTTCATCAAATTGCATAGGATAACATTCATTATATGCTTTACGTTTAGAATAATCAGATATAGTTAATTTATAACCATTTATGACTTTAATATTACCTTGACCATCAGTAACGAAAACTTCATTTATACCATCAGGTTTTCCATTTGGACCCGTAATGTCTGCTTCGTGTGCTTCCCAATTTGGACCATGACGTTTGGCATATGCTTGAGCTTCTGGTAATGTTAAAACGTTTCTCATTTGTTTAACATCTTTTTGAAGACCAGCAACAATATGAACTAATTCTTTCATTCCATCAGGAACTTTCATAGTTCTATTATATGCACCCTTTTTGTTTGTCCCTTGTTTTAATGGAACCTGTAGAAGATTTGCCATTTCAGTCATGTTTAATTATAAATAAAAAATAAAAATTAATTATAAAAAGTTAATCAAATTTAACACTTCCTTTATTTAAATCAACTATTATTTTTCCATGTTCACCTAATTGCTGATATTGTGTGTAAAGTTCATTAATGCTCATTGGTAAATTCACTTGATAAAGCATAACGTTCAACTGTTGACGACTAAACCCACTGAAAATGAAAAGTGTTGATAGATTTGATTTAATGTTTGTGCTTAATGCTTTGAAGTATTGAACAGCCATAAAGAATGAACACTGAATGTGTCGACATTGAGTTAATAACTGATTAAAATATGATTTCTCGTTTGTTATTAGTTTTGATTTCACTGCATCATCTAGAAAAATGAGTGAATGCAAAAATTCTCTATCAAAATTTGAAATAGAAAGTGTTTCAAATAATTCATCCCGTTGTTTATCAATAATTTTATCCTTAATCCTTGCTTCTTGATTGCATTATATAATTCTTTATACATTAAAAAGTTTTTTAAATAATCTTCTGCTTCTTCTTGTGATAAATAAATAATTGGAATTTTGATTAAATGCTTTAAAGATTCAAATGTATCATCTGAAGGTGAACCTGAACGGTTGATATAAATTAACACATGTGAATGGGGGGAAGTGTTAGCAATAATGATAATTTGTTTTAATATCGTTAATGTTTTACCTTTATTTTGTTTACCAATTGCTGCAGTGATTGAATTTAAGTAACATTCAGAATATGAAATTTTCATTAATTTTTCCTTAGCTAGAGCATTTCTATTATCACTCAATGCTTCATTAATCATATCATCTATGTATGTATTATATACTCCCGCTAATTCTTCATAAGGGGTGGATGAATTTAAATCCATTTAATCAAAAATAAATTTATAATTTTAAACATTTCTATTCATCAATATTTCATCATATGAACTTCTATACTGCGGTGGTGTACCTGTTGGATGATATTTCAAACCTTCGTCCGGTGTCCATGTCCAATACGTAGTCCTAGTAAACCAAACCTGAGGAGGATTTGTCACCTTTGAACAGTAAGTGTCATTTTCACCCTGAATGATTGGATAAGCTTTCACTTGTACTGTAACTTGTGAATTGAAAGTTTCTAATCCATCAAAGAATATACCCGCTCCATCACGTTGAACTGGAATAGTGCATAAGAATGAAGTTTGGTCTTTCCATGTTCTAGCTAATGGCACGCCATTATCATCATTAAGTGGTCTAGTTAATGAGTCCTCATATTCTTCTGTGCATTCATTCACTCCATCTAAATCAGAAGCTTGAAGCATACGTGTAAAGAATATGTCGCCCACTGTGGTCATCGCTTGATCGGGGAAGTTTCTGGAATCTATAGTGACCTGAAGACCTCGAAGCATTGGATTTTCTAAAACTGTTCTTTGCATTGCATTCTTCGGAAATGCTAACACAACATCTGTAACATTATGAAGAGCGTATGAGAAATCTGAGCTAATACCTTCAGGAGTGATGCAACCTCCATTTAGTGAACGAACGTCAATATGTTGAGCTGGAATCATGAATGGATCTTCCTTACTGAATAAACGTGGTATTGCTTTAACTGATTCTTCAATTAAACCGTATCCTGGTGTAATGCATTTATCCTCTAAAACTGCCATCTTTGTGCATGAAATAATAACGTTATCAACTATTGCGTCAGCAGTTGTAGCGGCTAAGCTTGTAATTAATTTGGCAGGAAGTCCGATTTGTTGGAATTTGCGATCATATTTATAAACATGATTCATAATCTTTTCATAATTTTCATCAGTTATCTTTTCATAAACGTAATTTTGTAAATCAGCAACTCTTAACGGGTCAACCTGACAAAATACTAAAGTATCCCTGAAAACATAATATTTAAGAATGATTTCACCAAATGATTTAGGATAATCATCGAACGCCTGAAATGCTAACAAATCATTTACCGGAATAATCATATCAAAAGTGATATCAACTTCTTCATTTGCGTTCTTGAAAACTTCTGAAGGGTCAATATATTTACCACATACTGAGTTATCATATTTTTGAACATTATTATATAACGAATGAACAAACTTTTTAACTTTCCTTTCTGATTTTGGTTTATATGTTGCAAATGCGAAAGATTCACGGCGCAATCCATCTGAAGATAACCGGCATCACCTCTTTCGGTTTCTACTTCTAATTGTTTAAAGCTTTGATTTGATGATTTGTAACCAACGAATAAACGCATGCATTTAAAAGCGGCATCACATGTGAAAGCTTTATTTGAAACTAGAGTTGCTTTAACTTTGCGTTTAATATATGTGTCACCTAATTGGTTCACATCATGAGCCGGATTTGTAATTCTTAAATGAGTTTGTTTATCATCAAAATATGGAGCATCAGAGTCATAGCATGAACTTTCAAGTTCTCTATAATATCTTCTACCATCATTCTTTGCGAATATTTCATTTATCTTTTCGAATGAATGAAACACATTTCCATTAATCGGTTTAGTGTTTGGCATCAAATAGTTAGTCGTCATTTATTATTAAATAAAAAATCAAAATTAAAAGATGAAAATGAATTTTTAATTTTAATGAAATAATCAACTATGGCTGCAGGTATATTTAAGAAACTGTGGGATAAAGTAAAAAGAGGAGCGCATAAAGTTTGGGAAACAATGAAGAAAGGAGCAAATTGGATATTTAAGAATAAAGAAGCAATTAGTGACGTTGCTGAATCAATAACACCAAAAGCTGCCCCAATAAGAGAAATATTAAATAAAGGAGAAAAAGTTTATCAAAGACTTCAACCGATACTAAGATAAAAATAATATTTATTTATTTTTCCACTATCTACCTCCTATTTTATTAAGTATTCCTTCAGCTATTCCACCAATTGCGTTACCTGCTTGTGCTCCCATCGCCGGATTACCTGCTTTAGTACCTAATACTCCACCTATGATAGTTCCTGCCGTTTTCGCTACTGGTGCCAAAAAGTTTGCAATGGGTTTAATAATCTTTTTATGAACCCAACCCGCAGCTTTCTTAATTCCATCCCATAATTTTTTAAAGAATCCTGCCGCCATTTCTGATTTAATATTAATTAAAAAATATATTTCATCACTTATATTCTAATTTTTATTTAATGATAAATGAAACCGATTTTGAAAATAAATGAAACAGAGGAGGAAGAAATAAATGAAAGTGAAAATGTTCAACAAAAAATAAACGTTGTTAAACCAATTACTGAAATAAAAATTTTTTCATCTGTTGAAGAATTTAATGACTATTATGCTAACAATAAAAAATTATTTGAAGAATTGACAACGTGTAAATTGAATAAAATGTTTAAAGTTGATGGATTCAAAATTTCAAAAATAAAAGGGTGTTAGTTTGAAATCTATTCCTCAATCAAGAATCACCTCATTAATGAAAATTGATGATTTAACAAAAAGAATAGAAGAGATTGAAGAAAGAATGAATCAAATAATTGATTTCATAAATTCAAATAATCATTAGTTTCTTAAAGTTCTATGTTGATTCTGAGACATGAATTTTTAAAGTTTATTTTTTATTTTTTATTTCATTATGGTAGTGAATCTTTCATTCATGAAAATAATTATTTCTAATTTCTTTTATTCTCTCGTACATACTAGATTTGAAGAATTCAGAACATTTCCCATAATCTCCTAAATGTTTTCTTATCCCTAACGTGTGCCAGTTATTATATGAAACTGAATAAACTTTATCTTTATCTTTACACCTTTCATCACTTCCAATATATTTATATCTCAGTTTTGATTTAGCATTTTCATATTCATTAGCGTTTAATAATTCACAGTCTTCCTTTTTAAATTGATGTTTAAGATATTCAGGATTTAATACTCTACGTTTATATGCTCCTAACTTAGTTCTAAAGGTTTTTCTACAAAATTTAGGAATTCCATCCTCTTTAATGTCATCAATGATTTCCATTTCATTATTTTCAATTTCTTCTTCTCGTTTATGAGGTCTTTGATTATGACTCCATTGATTCCATGAAATTAAATATTCTTTATCATTATATTTATACCTCATTAGCTTATTTTGGCTTTCATATTCATTTAATAATTCACAGTCTTCCTTTTTAAATTGAAGTTTAACCCATTCAGGATTTAAACAATGTTTAATTAATCGCGGAATATCTGACATCATCTATATATAGCTTCTTTTATAAAAGATAAAAAAATAAATTATTTTAAAATTAATGTTAATTTTTTAAAATGTGTTTAGTATATAATATTTATTACTAATTTATTTAATAATGTCGCGCTTTCTTACGAATTCATGACTTAAAAAATGTAAGAAAAAATTTTTATATCATCTATATATAGAAGATGTGAAAATATACCTTCATCTATATATATAGACGTAACAAAAAAAGTCACACAACCCTTCCTATCCTACTACTATGAAGATATTTTTTATCTTGTGTTTTTATCAATTCAAATAGTAAAGTTATATATAAATTCTTGATTAATGTGTCATCTTTTGTTTCATTATATGTTATAAGTGTTAATTTTAATATAAATAAACTGTGTTCACTAAAAATGAATTTTAAATTTAAATCCTTACATACTTCTAAATCCTTTAATACCATTAGGAGTTGTTTAAATTGTTGAAAATTTAATAAAATTTCAAATGGAAAGTTAGTTGTTAACCTGTAAAATAAATCATATGCAACTTCTTTTTGTAGCACTAAATCAATGTCCGAAAATTTTGAAATAAGAAATTCAAAATCCGCATTAACTGAATTTTGCCCTCCAAAATCGTGTTCAATTGAGCTGCAATTAAAATTTTGATCCTGGTAATTGTTTTCAGCCTGACTATAGTTTTCTATCTCTTTGTAATTGGTAAACATTAAAAAAAGTAAAATTATATAAAAAGTAATTGTTTATTTAGTTAGTTTTTCCTTCTTATTCTTTTGGTTCTTTAATTTCTATATGAGATTCATAAAAATCCAATAGGCTTTTGATATTATATTTTTTGACATCGTCCCTTGAACACTTATAAAAGTGTCCATTGATTTCACCTCCACACATGCATTTCCCATTTTCAATCCACATAGGCAAACCCAAATTTTAGCTAAAAGTGACAGGGGAAAAAACGTTTAGTATTAAAAAAAGACCGATGAGAGCTTCGTTCGAAATATAGAGGGAACTGAGAATGCGCAACCATTCTCAGGGAATATTGGATGCTATTCCCGTTCCCTCTGTATGGAAAATTGAGGTTTTCAAAGGGAGTTAAAATAATATCAAATTTATACTAATTTACTTCAAAATACAAAAGTATTTGACAGCTAAAATTAGTTACTTTAGCAAGCCTATCAATACCCTTTTACGATTATTGCTACTTTTTCGAAATAAAAGTAAAAACAAATTTATACTAATTTACTTCAAAATACAAAAGTATTTGACAGCTAAAATTAGTTACTTTAGCAAGCCTATCAATACCCTTTTACGATTATTGCTACTTTTTCGAAATAAAAGTAAAAACAAATTTATACTAATTTACTTCAAAATACAAAAGTATTTGACAGCTAAAATTAGTTACTTTAGCAAGCCTATCAATACCCTTTTACGATTATTGCTACTTTTTCGAAATAAAAGTAAAAACAAATTTATACTAATTTACTTCAAAATACAAAAGTATTTGACAGCTAAAATTAGTTACTTTAGCAAGCCTATCAATACCCTTTTACGATTATTGCTACTTTTTCGAAATAAAATAAATTTATTATCAAAAACCTTTTTTTTCTTAGTAAAAATAAACGAAATTTTTACCTTATGAACTTTTGATGGAAATATGCAAATTTAAAATAATAAAGAAAGCCGCGAGCGAAGCGATCGGCTTAGTTCGAAGATTTTGATTCAAATCTTTGCTGATCTGTAATTCGCGGAAGCCGCGAGCGAATCGAGCGGCTTAGGTCTAAGATTTTGATTCAAATCTTTGCTTATATTCCTTAAATTCTTTATGAAACTCGCAACAGTTCCATAAAAAATTTTAAATTCTAAACTGTCGAAATTACCGATCGGTAATCACACCCTTCACGGGTGTGTCACTTTTACAGGCGTGTCACTTTTAGCTAAAATTACCCCTACTCAATCCACATATGGGTAATTTTAAATTTTTTAACTTTAATTTCTTCAGGAGGGGCCTGAGTTTGGTTCCGTTTCTCAAAATCGTCAATCAATTTTTTATAAAAAAATAATTTCGTGGAATCAACCCAATTACAATCTTCTTTATTGTTTTCAATCCATTTTATTAAATATTGAGTTGAATCACCATTATTTTTTTTCATTATAATTTGAGCGGGTTTGCAAGTTTTATCATTGAACATTTGCAAATAAATTGAGACATGATCGGTAATTTTGAAAGGATAATAAAAAATTGAGAGAAGATGTAATTTTTTAAAAAACGAAGATAAATCAAATATATTTTAATAAACATATCAAATTATTAATTCATCCAAAATTTGTTAAGAAATGATCGGCAATTTTGAAAGGATAATAAAAAATTGAGAGAAGGTGTAATTTTTTAAAAAACGAAGATAAATCAAATATATTTTAATAAACAAATCAAATTATTAATTCATCCAAAATTTTTTTAAGAAATGATCGGCAATTTTGAAAGGATAATAAAAAATTGAGAGAAGGTGTAATTTTTTTAAAAAAGAAGATAAATCAAATATATTTTGATAAACAAATCAAATTATTAATTCATCCAAAATTTTTTAAGAAATGATCGGCAATTTTGAAAGGATAATAAAAAATTGAGAGAAGGTGTAATTTTTTAAAAAAGAAGATAAATCAAATATATTTTAATAAATAAATCAAATTATTCAATTTTGATTTTAAAAACAATACTTTTATTGTAAATTTGAATTCAAATTATTGTTTTATATTCAGCCTTATATATTATTTTTCTTTAAACATTATTTTTCTTTCTTCTATTCAAATGCATTTTCAAAGCAAATTTTGAATTATCCTATATTATCTTAATTACAAATATATTTTTATTTAACTTAAATGCACAATTAATCTTTTCATAATTTATCCATTTTGATAATTTCGATTTTTTCAAAACGCTCTCAAATCTTTACAATTTGTGAGAATAATTTTATTCCCATATCAAAATTCAAATTTGTTTTTTTTTAATAATTGCATTTATCTATTAATATACTATCTATTTTTTCAATTTTTTATTTTCTATTTTTTCTCAATTTTTTTCAAAATCAAATATATAGGTTTTTTCTTCAATTATTTATAATTGTATTAAAACATTTTACCCTTATATCAACCAAATGATTTAACACGTTAGCCCTTTATTTCAGCTTGAATTCTTCAATTTTTCTAAATATCAATTTTGATTCTCTACGATAGATTTGTAATAATTCAAAACAATATCTCCCCTATGAAAACCACCTCAATGTGCATTGATATATCAAAGTATATTAATTTTGATTTACAATTCGATATTCCATAATATAATATCAAATTATTTTTCTTTGAGAATTATATGACTCTATTCATTGGATTTTGCAGTATAATTCCACATGAAGACAAGTCTTGAAAACTTATTTGAATGCTACTTTTTAAGCAAACAGAAAGTGTTCCTCTCAAAAAGTGGAAACACTTTCCGGTCCCTCCTATGGCGCATCCGGTGGCTCAATCAGTAATTCAGTTTCGTCGAATCGCTTTTCAAATAATAGTTGCATTTCAGATGAAATCGTTCAGAAGTATCATGGAAATCTTATATACGAAAAAAAGAGATCTGACATTGTGTCAGATCTCAGTAAAAGTGACATTTACATGTCAAAAAAATAGAATGAGTTTAAGTAATTAAAATTGAGGGTGAGAGTAGTATTGTATGAAATAATATCTCTCACCCTCCAATTCATCCTATGGCGCCGAAAAAATTTTGGTGAAATGCGACCACATTTCACCAAAATTTCTCGGCGCCATATAGAGAACTAGAGCCTGTGAGGTACTGATACTATCCATGTACCTCGCAGGCTCTAGTTCCAAGCCAAAATGGCTAAAAATTGCCCGCAATTGTTCACATTGCGGGCAATTTTTAGCCATTTTGGCTGGGAATTGGAGGGTGAGAGTAGTATTGTATGAAATAATATCTCTCAAGATTTTCTTCCAGATTCACTTATGGCCAATGAAATGCCAGAGCTCCAAGGAAGCGAAGAAGATGAATGGGAAAAGAAGGCGAGGAAGTTGAAGAAGAAAAAAATAAGGCGAATCCGGTTGAAATAGAAGAAGATAGTAATGAAGAAGAAGAATACGAACTAAAATATGAAGAAGAATATCAAGAAGATTATGAAGACCCTTATGAAGAAGATTATGATGATTCATTTTAATATTACGAATAAATATCACTTTTTCTATTTTTGACACGTAAAGTTGTCACTTTTCTGTCAAACCGTTTTTATCGTTTTCGTATATAACAGAAACACACAATGCATTAGAACGGCGAGTATTGGTGGAGCCGGTGGCTACATAGCCGGAACTATTCATTTATCCAATCAAACAGTCACTTTTCTGACGATAGGAGGTCGTGGGATTTATGGCAATAAAATTATTGAAGTTCGTACCCCAAATTGTTTTTTGAAACAAAATATGATGAACGGCGGCTACGGCGGTGGAGGAAGTTCCTCCAATTTCTGCGGCACTGAAATCGATACGTCTGGTATTTATTGTGGAACAGGTTCTGGCGGTGGCCAGACAGCTGTCAAATTTTTAGAGAATGACTTATGGCATCGTGTCTTAGTGAGCGGGGGAGGTGGTGGCTGTGATAATGCGCAGGGTGACTACGGAGGTAGTGATGATGGTTCTGGAGGTGCCGGGGGAAACTTCACTGCTCAAAGTTGGTTTGCAAATGGAGTTCTCTCTGAAAATTATTTTGCCGATTCCGAGAAAGGATTCAGTTTCGGTGTTGGAGAAGCTGCGAGATATGGTGATCCATCAAATAATAATGCTGTTCCAGAAGGAACAATGGAAGATAATGCGGGTGGTGGAGGTGGTTGGTTTGGAGGCTTTTCTGGTCAAATTGGATCATCTGGTGCGGGTGGTGGAAGCTCATGGGCATTAACTAAAGATGCTATAATTCCTAAAAGTACATTGACCACATCTGATGAATTTTATAAGAATACAATCTCTAGATATTATGCATTTGGCCTTTCATCAGGTTATTTATTTGAAGATGTTGTAAATGTTGCTGGAATCTGGAATGGAAATGGAAGGGTAGTGATTTCTATTATTAAACAAAATCATATAAGGAGTTGTTCTTGCAGAGTTGGCATACAACCGCATTTCTTATATTTAATGTTTTTCGTAAGTAGTTGAAAAATAAAAAATTATTTAAAAATACCCATTATTGTAAATGCCATCATTTTAGAGAACTTTCAAAAATCACAAATTTTGATAAATCTCGTGAAAATAGATTGAGCCAATTTTTGTTAAAGGAAAACAAGCGATTCTTAGTTGTGACAGTAATATTCTGAAAACAATGATTTTTATTGATTGTTTGAAGAAAATGTATGCATATTGTCTTGAAACTTGACATATTTCTTCAAAATGTTTTGTTTTATAATAATTTCTAATGAGTTTATTCATTTGGGAGAACCTCATTATCATTTTCTTGAATTTTTTTCGAGATCGAAATTATTTTCCCAAAAAATAAGATCCAAAGACGAATAAATGAGTTTTTACTGAAGTTGATATTTAACTAAATCAGAGTAGACTCCATTTAATGAAAGAAGTTGTTCGTGATTACCTTTTTCAACAACACAACCTTCTTTCATAACATAAATGATATCAGCTGATTTGACTGTTGACAACCTGTGGGCCACAACTATGACAGTCTTCTGCCCGTGAAAATTCTCAATTGATTTTTGGACAAGACTTTCAGATTCTGTGTCAAGTGATGCCGTTGCTTTGTCAAGAATAATGATTGGAGTGTTTGCAACAATTGCTCGTGAAATGCAAATTCTCTGCTTCTGGCCTCCTGATAAGGAGTTCTGTGTTACCTCAGAGTTGTATGATTGAGACATATTGTTTATGAAGTCATGTGCATTTCCACTATTAGCAGCTGAAACAACTTCATCATGGGAAGCATTTGGATGCGAATACTTAATGTTATCTTCAATGGGCATTGAGAAGATCACAGGAGTTTGAGGAACGGATGCAATATTAGAACGAATGCTTTTGTCACTGAAATCCTTTACATTGTGACCATCAATTGTGATTTCTCCTTCATAGCCATCATAAAATCTCTGCAAAAGATGGAGAACTGTTGATTTTCCACTTCCACTCTCTCCAACAATTGCCACTGTTTGTCCAGTTTCAACAGTCATGCTGAAGTTATTAAGAGCATATTCTTCTCTTCCTTTATACTTGAATGATACATTGAAGTAATCAACTCTACCGGTAACACATTTGATTTCAGGTTTAGATTGAACTTCTTTTTCTTTGTTGTCAGTATTTATAATAGAGAGTACTTTTCGTGATGAAATGTTTGCTCTCCTGAAGTCGTCTGAAGATGAAAACATTGCCGCAAATCCCATTGCCGCTATTAGAACTGATATAATGAGTGTAATGCAGTCTCCTGGCTGTAAGCCATACTTTGGTTTCTTGATAATGAAGTAACACATGATGTAGAACAGCATTATGATGAGACCGTTTTCAATGAATGTCAGAATTCCGTATTTGAAACCTTGAATGGAGGCAGATTTCGTATAGACTCTATCAACACCATCAAGGCTCTCGGCATATTTCTCGTACTCATTGAGTTCATTGTCGAATGACTTCACTGTTCTGAACTGTGTAATGACTTCTTCTGCTTTGGCCATAGCATAAGTTGATTTGTCATTGTATTTGTGCCACATATGACCAACACATTTCTCGGTGAGCATGAAAATGGTAATAATAAGAGGGAGTGTTGCAACCCAAATGAGTGATACAAGCCAAGATGTCGTAAAGGCGATAATTACTCCTGTAAGAGCAAAGGCGCAGTTCTTTGAGGCTTCTATCGCCTTATCGCAGTAGGTCTCTTTGATCAACGTGACATCTTCTGAAAGTCTGGCGATAAGTGTACCAGTCTGAGCATTATCGAAATAATCTATCGGTTTTACGATTAGGTTCCCGTAGATTTCAGACCTAAGATCATGGGAAAATTGTGGAGTGCAAAATGACTTTAGGCATTGAGATATGAGGTTAGTAACAAGCATAACTGCATCTGCAATTGCCATCCTAATGATGTTTTTTATAATACTTTTCATAAAATCTCCTTCTTCCTGGGATTCACCTAAAGATAGGTCTGTCGTAATACCACCAATAAGCTTTACCATGATTAGAGGACATATTCCCGAAATACAGGCAAAAATAAATGTAAGAATGAGTGTGATCTTTCTTTTGAAGAACTTTAGCATCGAAAATATCTCGAGACCCGTTGTTACAACGACCTCTTGGTCTTGAGAACCTTGCGTTTTGAACAAAACTGCTGACTCAGGCATTGAAGTAGTACTTTTTGATAAATGAGAACAGTTTCTATGCAATTCAATTTTGAAAATATTCGATTTTGAGAAGAAGATAAAATCGTTATTGAGTTAATTGTAACCTATAGTCTTCGCAGAATCGTTACAACCTGATTTTTGTTTTGAGAATTTAGAAAAAATTGTGAGTGATATTGAAATGCGTATCTTTTCTATTTTTATCCAGTATTTATCATATATTAATATTCTATATTTTATAAATTCAAAAGTTTACGAACGTATTAACCCTAAATTTGTCTGAATTTGGTCGCATAGAAATGTAATAAAACTGTAGGATTTTAAAACCAAGCATAAATCAAGAATGCTAGTTTAAATAATCCCTAAAACTTGAAGAAAATTGCTTTTCTAAGATGATTGCCGACAAATTTATATTAAAATCGAATATTTTTCGATAAATATTGAACAATTAAGATTATTGTTTTATAAAGAAGACATCTTCATCAATAAATGGCCGAAATCATATGAAGTTCACAATTTTTAGTATATGATTGGAAATTTTATTTAAAAATATCCACGTAGATGCTCACATGCATTAAGAACAAAACATATAATATACTTATACTAATTATGAAAGAACAATTATCAGTTAATTAGAAATATTGAGATTCATTTATTTCTTTATGATATGTCGGAAAGGTCACATTGAAATTCATTCTCAATGGAATCGAAAACAACTCTTATTTATAAGTGTGATTCATTTTTTTAGTTGGAAATTATTAGAATTTTGCAACGGAGAGAGTGAACTTGAGATATTTCTAATTTTTGAGTCCAATGCGTGATAAGTAACGTCTTTACATTTGGAATTTGAAATGACTTGGCTCAATTTTATCTAAAAACGCTGAGCTTAACTTTAAACACAAACAATATAGCATCAAAGTTAACGTTTCTGAACAGAGTTCCTATGATACTGCATGTTTTTTAATTCTGTAAAATCGCAAAGCTCAACTTTTTAAAAAATTTTGGATAATTCAATTTTGAATAGTTACAGTAATGAACCATATGGAGACTGCAAATCCTACGAAAACAAAAGCTCAGCAAAAAAAAGGTAGTGGGGCTTCCAGGCGCGTTGCGCCCTCTAGCCCATAAAAAATTTCTGAGGACGAGCCAGCCGGTGACTTTTTTGTAGAGCACTCAAAATAGTATAACTTTGTCCGGACAAGTAAGGGTCTATCGTCGCTACAGGAAAAGTTACAGGCGTTCCAAGGAAGTATACTTTGAGAAGCCTTTTTCCCCTTATAGAATGAGATAGGACGGTTATTTTACAAAACTGACAACACTTTGACCGAGTAGTTTTTTGTGCTGAACAAAAAGTGTCATACAAACATCTGTCAAAAACCGTTTTTTAACTTCACTTAAAATGCCACGTAAGCTACGTAAGAATATACGTAAGAGGAAGGGAGCATTGAAACATCCAATAGTAAAACTGACACCACAACAACAGTTGCAACAACAAATGCTGAATGACCCCACTATGTTGCAACAAATGTCAAGCAACCCTATGCTTTTAAACCGAGTTATTGGTGCACAGAGTGGAGGTTTAAGAGCGGCACTTTTAGCGAAAATGGCAGGCTATGGTGGAGCTGCAGACGGAACAGCTTATAACCCTCAAAGTCAAATGAATTTGAGTTCACTCAAAAATCAAATAACAGATGTCAAAAAGTCAAACATAGACATACAGAAACAAATAAGTGAAAACGAAAAGAAACTAGAATATGACAGACACACAAAGAAACTCAATGAGTTAAACGTAGAGAAAAAGAAGAAAGAAGAAAACTGAAAGAACTAAGTACAGAGGAATATGCGAAAAAAGTGTCAGAAAAAGCAGCAGAAGTAGCAAAAATGGAACAAGATGTTATAAATTTGAAAAACCATACTACTCAATATAAAGTACTGAAAGATGAAGAAATAAAACAAAAAGCCCTGAAGACATATATGGATAGCGATGAGTATAAAAAAGAAGTTGAAGCAAATGTAAAGGCAGAAAAACTTTTACAGTTGCAAAACCAAACCGTACAGTATGAAAACTTAGCACAAGAAATTAAAAATAACGACGCAGCCATGCAAAAGGCAATGAAAAGCGCAGAATATATAAAAGCTAATAATGACTGGTTAGATGCCCAAGCCAACGCTAAAGCAGCCCAACTTATAGGGTCAATAAGGACAAAAATACAAGCGGATGAAGACAGTTCAAATGAAGCTTTAATGAATGCTGACTTTAAGAATGCCTTCGAAGCTCTTCATAGTAAAGTGAAACTAGTGAACGACTTCTCATCTGGAAAGAAACTGAAGTCTGAAGGTTTCGACAAAGAGATAAGAGAAGTAGCACAAAATATGACGAAAATAACAGATGCAGCAACGAGACAGGCAGTTCAAAGTGCCTATGACGCCGTTAGAGCAGCTGTTGTGGAAAGTCAAGAAAAAGAGTTACAACAGACCAAAACAGACCTAGTAAATGCTTTCTTAAAAACGAAAAGTCAGGTAGGACATTATGCTGCAGATGGAACATATGTGCCAGCTGGTGGAACTTATATACCACCAAACCCTCCAAGAGAAGCACCTGCACCAGGACTACCTAAAACATTTACATCGTCACATGGACACAGACACAGGCATGCACCAAAACCAACACAACAACCAACAGTTCAAAACCCTGCACAACAACAACCACAAACAGAGCAAGGACATAAAAGAAGTAGAGAAAAAGGAAACCAAGAATTCTTAAAAATGCTTAAGGAAGATTATGGTTACCCAGATACTCTTGACTTTAGTGACAGATATAAAGAAGCTATTAGAAAGTTCAAGGAAGGAAATACTGACCCGAACCTATTTAGCTTTATGGTTCAGCATAAAATCGGATATAATCTCAAACCTGGAAAATACAAGCTCGCAAAGGGATATGATTTAATAGCATATCATCCAAATGACATGAATGAATTTACTCCGAGATATTTGATGTCAGAGCTAAATGATAATTCAACTCTCTTCATGAAACGCGTAAAAAATAGAGACGGAACGAAAGAAGAAAGGTTTATGAGTCCGGATGACTTAGATAGGGAACTTGTTAAAAACGGTCTCGGAATATATGAAATGCCAGCAGATGAGGTACAAGAAACTCAACAGGAAGAAGTTCAGATACAACCAGACATGGAAGAAATAGTTCAGCAACAACAGCTAGAAGAGCCTGAAGGAAACGAACAAATCCCTCCTTTGGAAACTAACTTCACAGAACTAGATGAAGATTTGGAACAGCCGAAAAATCTTGACCCTCAACAAGAGTATGCAGAGAATATGGAATCTTTCCAAGAGTCTAAGAAAAATTCAGCTGACATAGTAGAAGAATATCGAAAAATGTTCACCGACATACAAAAGACTCCAACATCAGATGAAAATATTCAGCATAGAATGGAAGTACTGAAAGAAAATGTACGCAAATACAATAATCCTTTTTACTTACGACCATATAACGTTCAATCTTTGGCTGAACTCGGTGAAAATAAAAGGTTTAATTTCAAGAAAACATATAGAAATGAAACATTGTTTAAAGTTCATTCAGAACCTAACCAAGATGGAAACAAACCTACTTTTGTTTCTGCAGACTATGGAACTACAATGAGATGGGGTCATAAAGCTAATCCGGATAGGTGGTTCATAAACTTACAACCTCAATTCCAAGAAGTTGTAGACGCAATGGAAGTGAATGGTGAACCAGATATAACGGGTATTTTCAGCGCGGCTTTAATGCCATTGAAAGATATGAAAGATGCAGATATTTTGGACCAGTATGAAATGAACATGGCTGAGGGAAATATAACACCTGACGTTCTAGAACATTTATCTCAAAGAACTACACAGAACCATAGAGATGGTATATTTGGTGAAGAGTTTAGAAAGAAAGTTAGGGAGAGAGAAGGAAGAGAACCTATTGTACATGACCTTGCAAACGAAAGTTTGCAAAATGTCATAAAAACTTACTTTGCAGACAATGAAATGAGAAGGGATGAATATTTAAGAAAACTCAAATGGACAGTACCAAATGAAATGTTAGTATTGAAAAACATGTTCCTTGACAAAATAAAACCAACTACAGAAATAAATGACGCAAGACTGAAACGTTGGGTAAAAGCTTTCCCATTCACAAAAGATATTATTGGTTACATGGAAAGAAAACCAGAATGGCTACAAAAACATATATTTGGAAACGAGCTTATTCCATATGGACAAGCTATATTTGAAGAGCTTGAACCGGAAACTCAGGAAAGAGTCATGCAAACAATAAGCGAAGACTCAAATACAAACTATGACAAAATCTTTCTAGGATATATGTTACCTGAGATGGGCGACCAGAGCCCAAAGGCAAAAAGGACATGGGAAATTTACAACATACTAGGTGAACATGAGGCAAAGATGCAACAACTTGAAGCAGAGGGCAAGTTACCAAAAGCGACACCAAAGAAGAAGAGAAGAGTAGAACAAAGTGAAAGTAGTGAAGAAGTAACTTCATCTAGTGAAAGTAGTGGCAATGAAGGAAAAAGAAGAGTTAAAGATTCAGTTAAAAACTCAGTCAGGAAGAAAGTAAAGCTTGGTCCGAGTGGGTTCTATTATGACATATAAATCCAACTATTCTATATTTTTACCCATATGAAATGTACGCCGCTCAGAATATAACGCCAACAGTTTTGGATGCCATGAACGGAAATGTTTCCGAATGGTATAACGAATGCGACAATGCCATTAGAAGGTCAGAAATAGTTCCTGGAACTTACGAATATACAACTGCTGTTTCTTATGGAAACGTATGTGAGTTTGGAGAAGGTTCTTCAACAACAGTAGATATTGCTTGCGACAGGTTTCATATTATTTCTATTGACAACTCATTCTTATACGTGGAACAAGACATTGAAATAAAACCTTCTGCCAAGTTGTCTGACAAGAAAGGTTGCAATGGAATTTTCTATGTCGGA